GCCACTGTGCTTGTCATGATGGGTAATCTAAGCTAGCCCAAAATGCAGAACACACACGGAAAACGGAGTAAAAGTTCAACAGAGTTTATTAAGGTTCACAAGCACACGATAAAGAACAAGTTCTGGAATAGGTTCAGGGCTGGTTCACTAAAGTCTTAACTGGGACTGGAGACTGTTGGTTAGCAGAATTCATGGGAAGCTAAGCGTCTAGCTTCAGGCTTAGCATGGCAGACCTTGATCTGAGCTTCCAGCTCACTGCAGAGAACAACAGGGAATATCCACATAGGATTGCTCAGGCTGAGCTTCCAGCTCATTGCAGAGAACAACAGGGATCATCCACATAGGATTCTTCAGGGTGAGCTCCCAGCTCACTGTAGAGAACAACAGGGAATATCCACAAAGGATTCTTCAGGGTGATTCCACATAGGAACCTTCAGGTTGGCTCACCAGGGCAGATTAGCAGGTTAAGCTCTCCTAGAGCTTCAGGCTTGAGACTGGTTTCCTGTGATGCAGCTCTTCCAGAGCTTCAGACCAGAGACAGGGTTCCAGTGAGGCAGCTCCTCCTGAGCTTCAGACCAGAGACAGGTTTCCAGTGAGGCAGCTCTTCCTGAGCTTCAGACCAGAGACAGGTTTCCTGTGAGGCACAGACAAAGGAGAGATTAGAATCTGATCTCACACTAGGGACAACCAAGATTCAATCTGTAACAGAGGCTTAGGAAGCTAACCAACTAAGATCAACACTGCGGCGTGGAAGCAAGGCCTGGTAGGAGCTTATAAAGGGGAGATCTCCTGATGGGTGGATTAGCAACAGGTGTGCAGGAAGACTCCAGCCCTAGGAGACCCATGGCGCACTCTGCTGGAGACAGAGGGTAATCTCCAGGTCCCAACAGTAACTTCAGTCCTAAGGGAAAAAATACAAAGAGCAGAAGAGGATCCTCGGCGCCCTCTGGTGGGCAAGCCTGAGGATCCCAACAGCGCTAGCAACGAGCATGCTTTTAACTGGGGGCGTGTAGCAGTTCTCGCCGTAAAGCAAGACCAACTCTCGCGAGACTTCTGAGCCTGTGGGTGCGGGCCGAGGGCTCCTGCAATTGCAAGTGCGGTATTTCCCCCACAGACCACCAGGGCAGCTGAGAATCCCTTTGTTCAACCTGAAATGACTCATTTAATCATCCAAAACGTTATGGAACACATTAATTAACTGAAAAATGTTGCATAGTGTGCCTTTAACCTAAAAGCTGCCGTTCTTCCGGCTAGGTGGACAAAACCCTGGCCCCCCTCTTCTCTGGGTGAAAACAACACAGACTGTGGCACCCAATGAAGCCTGTTCCAAAAAAATGTGTCCATCTTGGCCTGTAGGCTGGCCAACAAACCGGACGGTGGGTCTAAGCAGGAAAGTTTGTGCCACAGCTGCGATGTGATAAGGTTATTTAAAACCAACACCCTTGCTCTGTAAGACACGTGGGAGTGTAGCCATCTCCACTTTGCCAATTTTCTTTGTATTTTCTTTTCAATGTCTTCCCAATTCTTTTTTCAGTGTTCTCATCCCCTAAAAACAAACCAAGATATTTAAAAACATCTTTTTTCCATAAAAGCCCTCGAGGGAGAACTGGGAGCCCTGCGTGTCATTTGCCCACAGCTAAGGCTTCACTTTTGGCCCAGTTCACCCTTGTGGCAGATAAAACAGAGTATTTGTGGGTTATCTCAGTCAGTCTGTAGACATCATGCTGGTTTCTGATAAAAACAATGACATTGTCAGCAAAGGCGGATAAAACTATTTTTTAAATTAAAACTGGATAAAACCAAACCGTAAACTCTGGAACGTATCCTTAGAAGCGGGGGTTCCAGGGAGAGCTTGTAGAGCATCCCGGACACAGCGCAGCCTTGCCGAACACCTTTATGCACCCTGAGAGGAGCACACAGGTCACCGTTAATCTTCAGCACACTCTCTATGTCGCTGTTCATCACCTTGATCTTGGCGATCAGACCCGGGTCGAACCCAAAGTTCTCCATTGTTCTCCAGAGGAAGCTGTTTGACGCGGTTAAACAACTTTTCTTAATCTAGTGCGATCAAGCCAGTTCCAAAACCCAATGAACCAGAGACCTCCAAAACATCCTGAATTAGGTAGATGTTATCTACCATGGACCTGCTGGGGACGCAGTAAGTCTTGTCCCGGTGGACGACCTGCTCCATAGTTTCTCTCAGCTGAGTTGCCAAGGCTTTGGAGAGAATCTTGTAGTCGGTGCAGAGGAGAGACACAGGGTGCCAGTTCTTGATGTCCTGCAGGTTTCCCTTTTTTTGGGAGAAGGGTGACGACTGCCCTGCGGCACAAAAGTGGGAGTGAACCAGTGGCCAGACTCTCGTAATGGACATCCAGCATCAATGCAATAGGATGTCCCAATAAGAGTTGTAGAATTCGACGGTGAGCCCGTCGATCCCAGGGGCCTTCTGGCCCTGCATGCTCAGGAGGGCTGTGTGGAGCTTTTGTGGCCCTAGGGCAGGCATCCCCAAACTCGGTCCTCGAGGGCCGCTGTCCTGCAGGTTTTAGAGGTTTCCTTGCTCCAGCACAGCTGATTTTAATTGAAAGCTGATTAACAGGCTTTTGCTCTACTGCAATCATTATAATCAGCTGTGCTTAAGCAGGGAAACCTGCAGGACAGCGGCCCTCGAGGACCGGGTTTGGGGATGCCTGCACTAGGGGGTGCGCCAGCTTTAGGTTGGCTTCACCCAACAACTGGGGCAGCCCACTGCAGAACTCCCTGCAGCTCTTGATGTCTGTGACCTCACTCTCAAACAGAGAGGAGTAAAATTCCACAGCTCTCCTCCTGACCTGGCTTGGTTCACCCAGCTGCTGCCCTGTGTCAGATAGTAGAGAGTGAATCACCTTCCTCTGCCTGTGTTTCCTATTCAAGCCGAAAAAGAAGCTAGAGGGAGCGTCCATCTCTGTGATCTTCTGAACCCGAGACCTGACAAACACGCTTTGGACATTAGGCTCTATCAGGTTGCCTAAACTAGCCGTTTAGACTCGAGAGCTTTAATAGCTCTCGATTTCCTGTGGACTCACGTAGATGTTCTAGTTTTACTATATTTATCTCCTGATCTCCGATAGATCTGGTGAAATCACATGTGACATTGAGAGTGTGCTGCTGACTGACTAGCTTTTATTTTAACTTTGCCATGGTTCCACCACTCCCTTAAACAAGCAAAATCCATCTTTCTTTGTCTAAAAACAGCCCAAAATCAGCTAAAAGCTCCTCTAAAACTGTAATTGTGGGTTAAAGCCAGATTAAAATGCCATTAGGTGGTTTCTTTGGTAATTTTTTTCTCATAAAAACACTATGTAAAAGTAACAAGTGGTTTGTAAAAGCTACTGGTAACATCTGGCATGTTTAAACACATTAAAATGGTGTTTAAAACAAAAACAACCAATCAAGCTAAAGGGATGCGGTTTTCTTTAAGATAAGACCACGTGTGTATCGTCTGGCACCCATGTGCATCCTTCACCACATGTCCACCAGGCCGTGGGACGAGACCAGCAAAATCGGCTTCTAAAAAAAACATAATCCCCAGACCCCCAAATTCCCAACCTTTACCCAATTTTCTCTAAAAAACTATTTATCTCTGCACTGACATTAGATATCTTGGCTTCAGCTTTTATAGATATATAAAATCACGGTGAGTTTCTTTTAAAAATAACACGTATTTTCTTTTCTGTTGTGCTATTTTATGAATCAGGGTTGTGTGTCTTAGCCACCCTAACTCCATTAAGATTTAAAGAAGCTAATTCAAAAGGATCCATATTGGATAAAAAGCTAAAAACAACACCACAATAAACCACACAATAAAAATTAATAAATGGTGCACATCATCTTAATCAAAGGTTTTCCTAACTTTTTCCATGATTTATCTCAGTCTATACACATCTTGATCTGAAAATCCAGACTCTTCCTTTTTCCTGATATATATTTCAGAAAAGTACAAAAAAAAATCTTTTCATTTGTAAAAACCTTTTCCATTTTAACTCCACTCAAACCCTTTGTCTCATCAAGAAACTTTATAAAAGACTCAACTGAATAGCATGGCTTTTTGCAGCTGGACTGTGTCATACAGTTTGTTTGTTTTTTCTTATCATTTTGGAGCCTCCAGCTCCATCAACTGCTCCCCCTTGCCTTTCTCCTCCACAGAAGCAGGCTTCTGCACCTTTACATCCCCTCATCCACCTGCACCTCACCTTTCCCTCCCTGATCCCCAAACAAACAGCCCACCTCCTTCTGAGCCTCCTGCTCTCCATCACCATCTTGCTCCATCTCACCCTGATTCCTCCTCTCTTTACCACTCTCCTCACCAGACACCGGCGTGCTACCATAACTCACCAAACAACCATCATTCTTTGGATGGTTTTATCCACACCCGCACTCTCCCCTCTGTCTCCAGCAACATTTTTTTTATGTTTTACTTTTTTAACAAAAAATTTATTGAACAATGATTGAACAAACAAAAAAACAGTTAAAAACTCTGGTCAACAATACATTAATATATTAGCAGCTTGTTATATTTTAGCTCTCCCTCAGTAGAAAATGTGCACAAAACACTATTAAAACCCCGCAGTTGTAAACAACCCTTCAATTCCTCAGTGGCTGTTACACTTCCACAGAGCCACCGCATCAAGCTGAGGTTCTGCCTGCAGTTTGTCCCTTTGAGTCAAATAAATAGCCAGAAGAAGAAGAAGAAGAAGAGGAAGAAGAGAAAGGACATTTTTGTTTTTCAAGATAAAAACCTTCCAGCGCTTCTCTTGAGTTCTCGTAAAGTTAGCTCGTCTGTGATGAATCAGCTCAGCTTCAGCGAATATGTATATAGACTACACAAACAAATTTTGAAATCAAAACAGTCTTTCTGTCTAAATATCATGCCATTTTACAAATTAAAATTAAAGCGGAAGCGGCAAAAACAAAACCGGAAGTGATGCGCAGCTGAGCATCTCGCTTCATCCGGCTTCTTCCGGTGGAAGCTCCCGCTGTCTTCCTGTCTCGGTGAAGCTGACAGCCGCCGTGGTGAAGGACTACAGACCGTTCGGGAGTTGGAGTCATGTCGGCAGCTGCTCAGGGGACAAGCAAAGCGGCCCACAGCGATGTGGCCCCGAAAAAGAAGAAAGGGCCGGGCGCCCTGGCAACGGCCTACTTGGTTATTTACAATGTTGTTATGACAGCCGGGTAGGTAGCGTGCTTCCTCGTGCTAATGCTGTGGTAGAGCGTGTGTTTGTGCTGCTCAGCAAATCAGAACTGCACGTAAGGGAAAATGTAAAGGTTTACATGATTCTCTTGTCGGTAAATATTTTAATGCACAAGCCGTGAGACATTTTATACATTTACTTTGAAAATTCTGCCTGTTATGCTGTTTTTATGTTAATCAGACAGACAAGCAAGCAGTGACCCCCTGCTGTTTTCCAGATTATAATAATAAAACAGATGGATCATTGTTTGCACACAGTGTGCATTTATGCCCCACACTGGGCCTGTTGGTTCAGATGCACATTTATTTATATAGGGGACAATTACAATTATACACAGCAAATAAATTACACAGCAAATATAATAATAACAGTGGTAATGCTAATTTAAATAATTTTTAGTTTTAATATATTTATTTCAATTATTTTAATTCATTAATAAAGGCTGGCATCTCTTAAAATAAAATTGAAATATACAAACAAGGCACAAATTTAGACGATTGTTCACAATAACTGTGATGTGACCCCTGAGGTATATGGAGGGGCAAAATAATATATGAAATACATATGTGTGAATGTACCATTAAGTATTTATCTTTAACATTTAAGAGTTTTATTTGCATTGATTCAAATATTGCACAAAATACAATAACAATTAAAAGCTCCATTAAAAAAGAAAATACATTTAATATTTATTCATTTAATTTAAAAGTTTGGGAACCTGTGATTAGGATAGTAAGATTTATTACATATCCATATTGTTCTTTAAAGGTACACTATGCAACCGGTGTTGATTTTCCAGCGAGGCTCCCCCCAGAGGGCGAAAGTAAAAGTGCACTGTCGTAAATATGCTCAGCTGTTCTCCTGGTTTCTCCGTCAAGCCAGGCGCGGTTGTTTTGAGCTTAGCAGCGAATGACTAATGCTGCGTTCACACTGGATGTAGCTGGCGCGACAGAAGCAGCGAGTTTACATGCAAAGTCAATGGTTGACGCGCGTCAAGGCGCAGCAAAAGGTCCAGCGGCGCGTTTTGAGCACCAGGCGCAGCACGTCTGAGCAGCTGAAGCAGCGCATCGGGCGCGTTTAACGCAGGGAGAGAGACACAGCGCTGATGATCACTCCTCTTAAACAGTTTGACGCCTAAATTAACTTAAAATGCAGAAATCTGCCGGCAGAATATGCAGTTTGGATTATTTAGATGAAAAACACCTACCAGCTGCCGCGGTGAACCGCTGCTGATGAAGGGATCCATACTGTCGGCGCCCCGCTGGGGTCTGAGCGGCTCCGACAGAAAAAATATTGAAGGCAGGATAATAATCTGAATGAACTGACTGCACTGATTACGTTTTCAGGTGTATTTTCTCACTTAAAAACATATTAAAACTACTTTATTCCCACTGATCACAGCAAATATAGCTGCAAGGCAGAGAAAGGTTAGTGAAGCTCCGCCCAATGCGCCTCTGACACACTTTTGCACCGCGCAGCCAGAGCAGCAACTGGTACAAGCAGCAAAAATGAAGCAGCAGACATGCTTTTGCTGCGTGAACGTAGCATTACTGCACAAAGATTGCCACTGTGCTAGCAACGAGCATGCTTTTAACTGGGGGGTGTAGCAGTTCTCGCCGTAAAGCAAGACTGACTCTCACGAGACTTTTGAGCCTGTGGGTGCGGGTCGGTGCTCCTGCAGTTGCAAGTGCAGTATTTCCCCCACAGACCACCAGGGCGGCCGAGAATACCTTTGTTCAACCTGAAATGACTCATTTAATCATCCATAACGTTATGGAACACATTAATTAACTGAAAAATGTTGCATAGTGTGCCTTTAATTGTTTATATAAAAGCTAGTTATGTTTTGTTTTTGTTTTTTTTATTTCTCAAAATTCGAATTTGTCTTTAATTTTCCCCTTTTAGAAAGGTTAGGATTACTAAAACTACTTTGATTTTTGTGGCAAGTGCTACATATCTCGCTGTCGCTCCACCTGACCCGTTTCTTTCTTTCATTTATCAAAGTTCATGCAAACGTTATCCCTTAAATAAAAATGATTTATATATGCTTTGAGTCCTACAGGAATGGAAAGTATATTTGGTGTAGAATGGTTTGCAGTCCTTGATGAGGCCACAACAGCCGACCAATCAGAAACCTGCCTGTTTAAAAGGCAAACCTCTAGCTGCTTTTTTTGAGAGTTTAAGCTGATTGTAATCAGCAGTCAGTAGTATGAAGCAGCAGCCTAAAGTTTTGATACTGGGTTGTTAGTAGTGTTGATTCCTTCTTAAATAATCTGATGACAGTTATTTCATAACGTCAGACGATAAATGGAAGCTGATAAATGCCTCCACGTGTCTTTTTATTGCTCTGATTTTTAAACTGTTGCATAATGATGTGCTGGGTGTCTCTCTGTACCAACCAGTTCAGTCACATTTATTCCACTTTCTACTGAGGCACTGGTTTGCAGGGCCTGTTTTGTAGTGAGGGGGGGCTTTCTTAAATGTTGCTGTGGCCAAACTTTCAGTTTAAAAGAGTAATTGATGCTCCCTTTTTTTCTTTTTTTTCCACCAATAGACTGCTTTCCAGTGTAAGATACTATTCCTACTAGTCTGTAACTTTAGGAATATATATATACATATATTTCAATACAAAAAAAAATGAAAGGAAATTAACAGTTTTCCAAAGCAATTTTTTACCTGTGTTTAAGTAAATATGATGCTTTAGGGATTCATTGATTTGGTAGGGACAATAGACAGTAATTGACAATATGTAAATGAACCATAATTAGCCAAAATCAGTTTTCATCTGTAATCCCTGGACAAAGGGCAGTTTGTCTAAAACCAACAAAAGTTATACAATCAAGGTTGAAATGACTTAACTCCAGAAATTTGTCTATCAAGGGGGAAAAGAGGAAACACAGTTGGTCTCAGAATAGGATAAGGAAGGTTCTTGCTGTACAGAATGTTGACAGATGTGGAGTGTTATGAGACCATTCAGAACAATACGATCTTCCCAGATTGCCACTGTTGTTCGATGAGAAGTGCTGTTTCTTTTATCTACAAAGACAAGCTGCTTTACATCAGTGCCACAGGGCCCTCTTAGCTGGAAAAATATAAAACTGGCATCCAATGTGACAATACCTGATATTTAAAGACAACAGAACATAAGATATTATATCAGATCTGTCCATTTTAATATTGCAGGGTTCATTGTGAATTAACTTGGAGTTAGCTCTTCTTTTAAACTGACCAATCGAATGCTATTTGTACAGCAAAAAATACTCATATATATTAGGGGTGTGGGAAAAAATCGTTTTGGCGATATATTGTGATATTCGGCTGCCCAATATAATATCGATCTTTCACTTCTTAGTATCGATTTTCAAAAAAAAAAAAAATAGTTACATAAAACATTGATGGGAAAATGGGCTACCTCTGCACCACCACTCTGGCAGAAAGCGCTGTGGAGCCCTTTAACTGTGCGTGCAGCACCAAATCTGTATATGAGGCAGTCACAGTGGAAGAAAACCCCAAACAACATGGATAATAATACCTAATCAATATTTTCTGATAAAAATATACAGCACTTGCTGTTTTATCTCATCATTTGATTTTGATAGCTGGGGAAAATATGGCAATATATAGTGATACTGCAATATCGTGATAATATCGTATCGTGACCCAAGTATCGCGATATGTATCGAATCGCAACACTCATGCCAATACTCACCTCTAATATGTATATACAAAATATGTCATACAATCATCCTGATAGTGTTTGCTTAGTCCTGTTTGAGCATGAAAAGAATTTTTGCACCAAGCACAATCAGCACACAAACGTTGTAGGCCAACGCTAGCTGCTGGGAGACCTTACTCCCTCATCCATCAGTTTGGCAGCTTCAGTAGTTTTAGCTCCCTCTTCAGTGAACACTGTTTATATTTTATTCCAAATCCTACTTGTTAATTTAATGGGAAAAAAAAAAGAAAAAAACTCACAAAAATTGTGTTTAAAGAACAAAAATTATGTATACGGTAATAACCAAAGGTCTCACCTTAGCTTAAACGGAAAGACTTTGTAGGGAATCAGAGTGAGCTAATAGAATGACCAGAGTTTCTGTTTCTATGTCCGTTGTAGCTATGTGCTGATTATGTTATCATAACCTAAAATTTCTAGTGTTTCACTTTGCACGTTTAATCCTGTCTTTGGGTTGCAATTTATTATTAATGTCTATTGATTATTCTTTTTTTTTTATTAATAATTGATCAGCAAAGGCTTATTCATTATTTATTACAAAGCATTTTCAAGGTGAAGCTGAAAATATTCTAAAATGAGCTTATTTACAAATTTATTGTACTGTTTTGGCCTAATTTTTGCTCTTAGAGCCTCTGTTGTTACCATGGTAAATACCAAACATTTTTATGCCAAATATTTAAGTCATCCAAATGTAATACTTGAGAAATTTCTATGGCAGGACTTTTAAGGTACAAACTGAAGTGAGACCACACATGCATAAAGAAAAGTGTCTACAGATGCCTCTGCAGCTTTAGGAGGAGCCGCTCTGTTCTTTTGCTGCTTTCTAATTAACAATGACTTTATTTGCTCTGATGAATTTTGGTGAAAAAAGTGAGTTTTTTTCTTCTTTTTACCACCAAATTATTATTGTTTCGCTTTTAATTAATTTTTTTTCTCACTTAAGTTTCATAATGATGATGACAAATGGCATATATTGTTAAAAAATAGTTTTGATTTCTATCATCCTCTTTGGGAGGTGAGCCTAATTTAAAAGGCAGTGAAATTTAAGCTGTGAAATCTTCTTGTAAAAACAAAACAAAAAAACCCGCAAACTATTAAAATATAACATACTAACAGTTTTCATCTAGTGGTTTCACAGAATGAGCTAATTTAGCAGGTATGAGGAGACCTCTAAGAACGAAAAGTCGTGAACTGAGTCATTCTGAGCAATGGAGGTCCAAGTTTTCAAAAATTAAATCTTCATTTAAAAAAAGGTTTAATCAATAAAAGTGATAACCCAGCTATAGATTAAGTTGTTTATTTTTTTTTAGAGATGTGGTTAAAAACTAAAACTAGCACAAAAGAAAGTATTTTCAACAGGTTTTTGACATTTTAAGATTATGCAGGTGTTAATTGTAAAATATTTTGGCATAGTTTTCAACGAAAATGTTTTAGTGGAGTAATAATGATCAGAGCATCTCAACTTTTATTGTGCTGTAACAAAAAAACAAGCAATACGTGTTTATTTTTTTTTCCTTTTTATAAATAAAGGTAATATGTTTCGAAACTTGCTTTCATGGAGCTGATTGGCAGTGCACAGCAACAGGGGGAGTCATGTATGTAGACTTAACTTAGACTTAGACTCAGCTTTATTTATCCCTTGGGATTACTCCTTCAGGGAAATTCTGGTTCCAGTTGCTAAGTACAAAGAGTTGAAAGATGCCATTAAAGATAAAAATATGACAGACCATATCAAAAGAGTGTATATAAGTACCAAAAAAGCATAAAAGAAAAAAGTTGAAATGTCCTGGAATATGTTTCCCTTAGATATAAAAATATCTGAGAGCTTGGATTGTTGCAATGGTACTAGAGATATGTGCTGACCTCCTAATAAGTAAAAAAATTACACAGGCTACACAGTAGTTAGAATATGTTATTGCACTGTGAGAGAGAATATTGCACATGAATGATAACAGGTAATGTTTTGCATAAGATGCCCAAAGAGGGGGGTGCTGACCCTTGTCCCTCTTCCGATCACCTCTTCCTTCCCCCAAGTGAGGAGTTGTACAGCTCAATGGATTGAGGAACAAAGGAGTTCAGCAGTCTGTTGGTCCTACATTTGGGGAGGAGCCATTTCTCACTTATCAGGCTCCTCTGAGTGGTGAAGACAGTGTGCAGAGGGTGGCTGGCATTGTTCATAATGTCCAGCAGTTTGTTAGATGTCCTTGTCTCTACCACCGTCCCCAGCGGGTCCAGCTTCTTGCCAATCACAGAGCAGCTCGCCTCACAGGTTTTTCCAGTCTGGAGGTGTACAAACCGGTGAGGCGAGCTGCTCTGTGATTGGCTAGAAGAGTATATGTAGAGAAATCTTATTTCCCACAACTTTTTCTCTTCATTTTGCATGAAACAGTTAGCCGTTCTGAAGCTGTAAATATGAAGAACCTCTGTCTGATGAATGAACAGGTTATGTCACCTCAGACATGCTTATGTTGAACTTTGAACCCTTTGCTGTACTTCTCTTTGTTGCACACCAGCCATTAGCTATCCCGATAAGATCAGGTATTGAGCAAGTCTGGGGTTTCTAAATGTAACTCTGCCTTTCTTCCTGCTTCCAGGTGGCTGGTGATCGCAGTGGGTCTGGTTCGAGCTTACCTGGCCAGAGGAAGCTACCATGGGCTCTATTACTCTATAGAAAAGCCGCTGAAGTTCTTTCAGACGGGGGCTCTTCTAGAGGTTAGATACACACTAAGAAATAACCAGTGCTGGCTTTCAGAGCATTAATGATGATGCTGCCGTTCACCTGTATCTGTACGCCGTTTCTGGGATATAAATAGCTATGTTTAGGATGCAACACTTGTTTGTTTCTTTAGTCAAATAGTTTCATTTGGTCAAAAACGGCACCAGGCCAACAAAGGCGTGTCCAGCCAAAGCCTTGCTTTCTCTTATCTTTGAAGAGTTGTTGGGTATAAACCTCATAACCTAGCATTGCCTGACAATTCTGACTTAAAGACACAGAAATAACAGTTTGATGCTTTATATATTTATATTAAACTACTGTGATCATGTCCAGATCTGCTGTAAATAAGGGATTTCACTGGAGAATTAACGTTTAACAAATCATTTAATTTTCAAAATCTACAATATACACTACTTAGAAAATAAAATGAGGTATTCTGCAGATCTTAATTATTATGTTGTGTATATATTATTATTACGTTGTGTATATATTAAATTTACTGGTACATCTTCAGAGCACTGATGGTAATAAAGACTCAGCAGTGTTAGTTTGCTTTAATATAAAAGAAATGGAAAATCTATGAATTACTTTTTACAGATGTTTTGTAACTTTGTGCTGCTAAGGTTGAATTCAGAATCAACTGATGTTGTGTTTTAGCTCTAGATTCATGTTTAGTAATGTTTTCTCTTATTTCACAGATCTTGCACTGTGCTGTAGGTGAGTGTCTGTACAGTTCCCCTCCTCACTGCCACGTCTTTCTGTGAACATATTGTGCTTAGTAGAATTTATTAGGGTCATCAAAGCAGCTAAGCTTTGGTATTAGAATACAATAATATGATCAAACTATGAGCTCAGAATAGTTTAACAGATGTTTGAGTTCTTTCTTTTAATAATATGTTTCCTCTTGTGGCTCAGCTGCCGATAACCTATCATTAAAATATCTACTTACTAGCTTTTTGGCTTAAGTATCCTATCAGATTTGCCCTTTTTGCTGTGGAACAAATTCATCCTAACTTTTTCTTAATTTCAGGGATCGTACCATCCTCTGTGGTCCTGACGGGATTCCAGGTCATGTCTCGGGTCTTTCTCACTTGGGCCGTCACTCACAGTGTCAGAGAGGTACAGAGTTTATTTACAGTTTTTCACTGTCATTTTTTTTTTATTTCATCATATGTTTAACATGGCTTCAAACATTTATGTACCTAAGTGACCAGATGATTCGCTCTTTGCCCCGTTTCATAGATCGGAGGAGATTATATGTGTGAGTAAATACAGAAGGTCTTGCTGCAGGGTTTCAGGAATGAATATGAAAAAACTTTAATTGATACCTCTGATGTTTTAGTTTCTAAGAGTAACTGTACTGACATTTTTCTGAAGCTGTGGTCTTTCTATTTAATGTAAATGCCTGTCAGCTGAACATATCTGTGTGCTTATCTTTCTAACAATATATTTTCTTTGGTTTTAACCTACTATTTAAAGAACGTGTCCATGAGCCTGCAGTGTGATTTTATCATTTAAGTATCGGAAAGAAAAGCATGGTCATTAGTTGATGAAGTTGTTGGGCTTTTTCCGCAGTCTAAAGCATGATGCAAGCCCATCTTTTTCCTTGTCCGCTCTCTATCCATCCATCCATCCATCCATCCATCCATCTGTGCATGTGTTTCTGTAGGTACAAAACGAGGACAGTGTGCTGCTGTTTGTCGCGGCCTGGACCGTCACAGAGATCATCCGCTACTCTTTCTACACCTTCAGCCTGCTTAATCACCTGCCGTACCTCATCAAGTGGGCAAGGTAAAAGACTTTGCCTCTCAGTATTATCAGGACGATGCAATGTCATTCAAAACCAACCATTTTTCAAATTTTGTTCAAATACAAGCAACATGATCTCTGAGGTAAAGGCGTTCCACTTTGTATTTTTAACGGGCATTGCAGCTGCTCTCCATAACAATGACGAAAACACTCTTCTACATGGTTTTCTGCCCATATATACAGCACTTAGTCATTTTGTCTTATAAAGACTTACAAGTACTGCCTTAATGAATGACTTAGTGTTACATATATATGGGGATAATTTTGAATCAGTATTATTCACTCAAACAAAAACAAATCTCAATCAAATGAAAAGGAATTGTGGCCAAAACTTTTGTGATTGTTAAAAATATTTTTTTAAAGGAATATTATATTTTGCATCTTTGAAGTTGGAAATTTCAATTTATGAGGACAAATGTAACGCACCATTAAACTCTTAACATTGCGAGATCAACCATTGGGAAAAAATAAAACAACTTATGCAACCATCTTACACAATAAGGCAAACACAAAAGCATTGTTTAAAGTTATTTTTCAATGAGGCAGATGGACAGGCTAGGGCTGCAACTAACGATTATTTTAAAAATCGATGAATCAGCCGATTATTTTTTCGATTAATCGATCGGACAAAAAATATTTTTTAATATTGACCTCTTTATTCCAAAATAAACATTTTAGACAGAACAAACAGGCACGCAAGTACAGGTTGCTCATTAACTGTACTGTTGCAATATAAAAAATAAATGTTTGTGTTAAAACTACGCAAACTTACATGAGAAATGTAGCTGTACATCCACAAAATATGGAGTACTTTGTAAAGCCCCTAAGGGGTTCAAACAATAGGATAAATATATCCAGTCTCTCTCAGTCAAGACAGCTGCTTGCTGTGGTGTGCATGTCTTTCCCACCATGTCATTGTCATTGTTTGTTGTTTTCTTCTGTAATAAGAAGGACTGTTGAATTATACCCCTGCAGCATGTCAGCAGAAAGCATAAAACTAGAATTTGCATTTATAACGTTATATAATATTTAGTGTAAATAATTAGAAATGTTTTGATTTATAAATATTTTTTCTCAAAGAATGAGTTCTGCAATAGTATTGCATTTTTGAAACTTCCTCATTTATCCATCTACAGACATAAATGAAAAGTTGTAGTCTTCATTTAAAAACTTCTAATATTATTTTTGATGTGCCCTTTAAATTTTAAATATTCAATTCATTTCTAATTTATTTTCCATTACTGTAAAATACAAATTAACTTTTCAAATACGTCCCCCATTTCAACAAATGAGTTTTTTTAGACTAGAAGAGTTCTGCCTTTTAACCCATTTAGGCCTAAAACGCCTGGAAAAAACACCTTAAAAACCTATGGCCGATTTTAAAAAATACCCCTAAAACCTGAAGTTTTTCTGTAAATTCAGCAACTGTGTCAACGCCTTAATTATTGATATCTCAGCTTCTGTAGCAGATAGAACTCAAAATATATTTTATCTTTAAAATTCTTCCAAAAAAAAAATGTGAAAAGCAGTAATCAAAAAAAAAAAAAAATTCAACCTTTTATTTTTTCCATATGTGATCATGTCTTCATTGAGAATGTGCAATATAAAACGTTTTCAAAATAAAGAACAAACATTACATAAATAACTATCTGATGATTACTTATTAACAGTATTATTATGCATAATAATGCATATGTCTGTGTTATAAATTGCATACAACCTACCTCCAGATGGCCACAAATCTGTCCCGGGACATATTTTGGGGGAACTGCGTCCTGAAGAGAGGTTTACATACACAGCCCAATAAATGTCTTCATCTCCGTCACAGTCACGGGTGACCACTTTGCCATCTTTGCTCTTGTTGGAGTTTGGTTTGTTTGGTCACTGTACCTATTCGTCTCGGTAACTAGATGCATCCAAAGTTCTTCATTAAAAATATGCTCAAATGCCTGCAGCGGTGTGGCGTCTGCAGGCAAATCAACTTTCACTCCAGGTGTGCGGTTGAAAACACTCCGTGCATTGCGGTGGTAGTTCGATTGGTTCAGCGCGTTCAAAGTCATCATTTCATCTATACCGTCATCAAAGCCGACACACTCCTCAAAATCACTGCCTTCCGACAACTCTTCTCTGTCAAACTCCTCCATGTTTGCTTGAAAAAAACTTCTTTCTTCTTGCTTGACTTATATGCTCTCCCGGCGTCAATGGTAGAATGACGCAACAGCACCCCCGGCTTGAATGGTAGAAATGCGGTAATGCTTTCCCGGCCTAAATGGGTTAAGACAGGAAAGTATAGCAGTTAAAGTTGCTACTTGAGAAAATACTTAACCATAGAGATAAAAATAGCCCTGTGATTCAAATTATAAATTGTATTTGGAATGAAAATGAGAGAACTAGGGGTGCTAAAAACACATCCTCCAAAGACAAATATTCATATGGGAATGTAGCATATAATGAATTGACATATTACTTATCTTGCTGGATTTTATTCTGCTTTACTTCCATCAATTGCAGGATCTTCTTCACTTTATCTTTGCCAGAAGATTTAAACTTTAAAAGCCTTGCCCTCATAATTTGCAAGTTAATTTATTTATAATGTAAATCTAAACGCTGCTTAAGCTAATTCAAATGAAATTGAAAGTAAAACAAGTAGCCAACCTTATCACTGTCTGTAACCTATTAACAAGGTAAGGAAAGCATCAGACGAGCTACCTGAGAAACTAACGTTACGTTTCCCCACTTTAAAATGAAACAAACATGGATACTCACCCTGCTGATCAGCTCTCTTCACTGCCATCGAAGGCTCCATCGTGTTTTCTTTTCAGTTGCTGCATCATAACAGTGGTGCTTCGGTGCCATGTTAATTCGTTTTTGCAAAAGTTGCTTGTTACAAGTTTTTTCGCTTTACAAAGCCTAAAGTTCTCCCACATTTTAGAGGACTTTGCTCGACCTGTGTTTGCGGTATCAGTCATTAGAACAGTTGACGTTATTCCCTTTTGAAAACAGCCTTTGCTCACCTGCGGCTCTGGCTCGCTGTGCTGTATTTTTCCCCCCCCTGTTTCAGTCAAGTGGCAGTGATGACGACTGCGGCGGATGACGCATTAATCGCGCGACACAACTAATCGATTGAAATTCGTTGCCAACACTCTTAAAAGTCGATTTTTATCGATTCATTGTTGCAGCCCTAGGACAGGCAACCAAAAAGCAAATGCCAAACGTTGCCACATGCTCACTATGTGTATGTTACAATTTAACGACACGACAAGTATGTTTGAGAGCAACTTCAGAGGGTCAGACTCTTCAGACTCTTTAAACAGTGGCATATCAAGCTTATTGGCTGGTATAATTTAACGCCATTTTCATAAATGTTGGTTTGACAAACAGAGACAACCTGATGACGCAGTCCATTTCAGAACCAATCGTTCAGAATCAAGCGAATCAACGCAGGAAAGTGAGAATCAGCTTAGGTCTCATTGAACCCAGATCCTCGTTTACTCTGCAAAAAAATGTTTGTGTTGGAACCATTTTTGTCTTATTTTAAAGGTATAGATCTTTTATTTCCAGGTGGATCATCTAAATAAGAGGTCGTCCTAATTATCAATCATTCTTGTGATATGTTTACGAAAGGCTGTCCTACATGCTCCTCCCATTAGCTATCTTTTTCTGGGCATGCATACTTTCAGGCATTTATGTGTGGTGAGCTACAATTTCAGACATTCATTGAAGCCCACCTTTTTCTGTGGCTCTTTGAAAATGGCCGAGGGTTGAAGAGAAATAGTGTTTACAAAGTGTATGAGAAGAGGCCTCATGCACATCTTTTTTAAAGTGGAGAGGACGGATACCTTTCATACCTTTAATACCAGGGAAGTGATGCATTTATACAATGTTTTTCCCTTACTGAGGGCTGGGTTTTCTGCTTCCTTTTGGTTTCCCCCAATAAATAAATATGAATATTAACATATTGTAGTAAGTAATAATTATTGTTCCTGTGGAGAAAAAAACACGTGCCTTTAAAAGATCGTTGCAGCTATTCAAAAAGTCATTCAATATTTTTCTTTGACATGTTAGTACCATGGCAACCCTGGTGTTTAGGTTATTCTTAGTACCAGTTGTTCCAGGAAGACTTCACAGGTTTCTCAGATAAGCTAACAGCACCATGAAGACCAAGGAAAACACCAGACAGTGTGTTTTTTGTTCACCTTTCTGTAGACCTACTCGTATAATGCTTCCTGTTATATATTTGCTCAGTTTATCTAAGCAGCGTTTTAGTCTTACAGGACATTGAGCACATAAAGAGCAATGGGGCGATCCATTGTCCTGCTCAGTCAACATTGGTACCTATAGGCGCCTTAGATGCACAGTGAAACACAGTAGAACTAGAGAAGCTTGCAGCATTTATAAGTTTATACATTTAATCAAACCTTAAAAGTAGGTTGGGTTATGGTAAGTATTTTTAGTTTAATAAGCTTGAGGGGGGAAAAAACTACCACAGTTTATACCCAGATTACACCCATTCAGCTAAAGGTCAAAGAGTTTTACTTTATCTGTTTGTGTAATTCTGACCTCCTACTATGGGTAAATTTACACAGTTTACTGAAACGTTTATTTATTATTTACCGTCTATATCTGATTCTGCCCCGTTTGCTATATGCAAGTTCAACTCGTTTTGTTTCCAAACCTGAAAGGACAGCTGGTTTACTGTCCAGTTTAGAGATTTTTCTTCAAATCAGAGGGGCATCACTCTCCACAGTGTCTCCCATGACATAGCTGTGAAAGTAATGCATACTAGGTCAAACCAAAATGAGGATGGGACACTAAATTATATCTGGCGTGTTCAGACCTTAAATTGTCAAGTGTGATTGTGTGCATGTTACCCTGAATTGGACAGGCAAGGTGTCCATAGCGTACCCCACCTTTTGTCTATAGACTGCTGGATAAGCTCCAGCTCCTCATGACTTTATTGAACAAGTGATAGAAGTTAGTGATGCAACTCCAGAATCTTAACAGAAAACCTGTAATTTTCGATCATGAAAGGAGTCCTTTACAGACATGGATGGACAGGCAAGACGGACCAGACCAATGACTCCAAATGAAACATTATAGACGCAATAAAGGCATGTGTCTGTTATGAAATTATACTTAAACCTTTCAGTAACGGCCAGCATTACATTTTTAGGAACTTACCCTAAACTGTGAAGATCCTGGGGAATTGCATTATGTTCAGTTGGCGGTTTTGCTCCAGCAATGTTTCCTCCATTTCACAAAATGGAAGCATCCTAAAGGAAAGATATGCCATCTGGAAATATCCAACTAACATCTCCCCAATAAGGTATAGCTGGTGCATTTTATATATGGCTTGAGGACAAGAAAATCTCTTTATTTGCTATTGCAACGAGCTAAATCCCTGACAAATTGGAAAACCAAAAAATTTGTGACGAAGTTGACCTCCTAGCCAGGCTCAGTTAGATCAGTTCTGTCTGAAGGAATGGGCCAAAATTACAGCAAAATATTGTGAGAATCTTGTCAAAGAATCCCTAAAAAAATCAAAAGTGTTTAAAAAGAAACTTTTCTAAAGGACAAGTTAATCTGTGTAAGCTTGAAATTTAAAAACATGAACAGCTTTAAAATACTACATGAATCTTTGGTTTGTTCCAGCTTCTCAATCCTTCACCGTAGCTTATGGAGAAACCAAACTAGAAGACTTCATTATAGTTAGCCCTCTCCAGCACCCTTCATGTTGTGGGTTCTTCACATAAACAAAAGTGTAAAATTGTGCTGTATACTGTATAAACCAAAAAAGATTTTGCATAAAGTACATTTAAATGTTATAATAGGGATTAATACTAGAGATGCAGATCTGAAAACCTTGGGACATCTATGGCTACTTTACTGGTCTGTATCTGCCTAAATTGCAGAAAACTGTTTTTTTTCCATCAATGTTGGAGGAGAAAAGGCTGTCATCATTTAGATGGGGATGTTTTTTCTGGGTAAACGTAGCATACATTTTATCTCTTATGCTTTATTACCTTATTTTTTTGTGTGTGAATATGATGTTAAAGAAATGCAGCAGTATATGTTCTCTAAGTTTTCTACAATTTTTTTTATTTTTATTTGCGTCTGTTTAGTTATTCCACAACTACATTTCACAATGACGCCTTTTATAACTTTAAGTTTTTAGATGTGTAAAAACAAAAATGGTAGAGGGATACTTCCAGAGGTGGGTTAGGACCACATACCATGTTCTTTTCACTTGTGACTAATGCAGTGCCATGTCTTTAAAATAAAACCTCAGTAACAAAATAATTACAAGGCATTTTGAGAGAAACGGAAAAACCCACACAATACTTTGATTTGACTCAAGCTGTTGGCTTTCTAAAGACTAAAATGTAGTTGCTTTAGTAAAGAATCCCCTTTTTACATAACTCTTTGCATAAGTAACTTGAACCACTTGTTGCTTCATTTGACTGTTCACACTGTTTACACGTCGCTGTGAATACTGTAGGGAAATATGATGGCCGTCCTCCTTGTTGTAAAGGACCCAAACATCCTTGTCAAGCGCAAAAGCATAAGCTTGAAGGCAAATTGTCAAACGCAAATCCTCTGTTTCCACGTCTTTATTTGACTGAGTTTATCAGCGTCTTCAACCAAGGCAACAGTTAAGTGTTTCTCTCCCTGCAGTCTTTGTTGCTAAGTAGCAAGAGAGGCCGCTGCACTGCTATTTAAGTTCCTTTTGAATTGCACCCTAGAAATTGGTTTCTTATCTGTGGAAAATGAGTGTACAGTTCCAGGGCTGAAGGAAAATGAGATTCTGAAGTTTTTATTTACATTTTTTTTTTTACAGCAGACATGTTCCGTGTCTGCACATACAGGTAAAAGCCAGTAAATTAGAATATTTTGAAAAACTTGATTTATTTCAGTAATTGCATTTATTCATTGCACACAGACTGATGCATTCAAATGTTTATTTCATTTAATTTTGATGATTTGAAGTGGCAACAAATGAAAATCCAAAATTCCGAGTTTCACAAACTTAGAATATTACTTAAGGCTAATACAAAAAAGGGATTTTTTTAGAAATGTTGGCCAACTGAAAAGTATGAAAATGAAAAATATGTGCATGTACAATACTCAATACTTGGTTGGAGCTCCTTTTGCCTCAATTACTGCATTAATGCGGCGTGGCATGGAGTCGATGAGTTTCTGGCACTGCTCAGGTGTTATGAGAGCCCAGGTTGCTCTGATAGCGGCCTTCAACTCTTCTGCGTTTTTGGGTCTGGCATTCTGCATCTTCCTTTTCACAATACCCTACAGATTTTCTATGGGGCTAAGGTCAGGGGAGTTGGCTGTCCAATTTAGAACAGAAATACCATGGTCCGTAAACCAGGCCCGGGTAGAGTTTGCGCTGTGTGCAGGCGCCAAGTCCTGTTGGAACCTGAAATCTCCATCTCCATAGAGCAGGTCAGCAGCAGGAAGCATGAAGTGCTCTAAAACTTGCTGGTAGACGGCTGCGTTGACCCTGGATCTCAGGAAACAGAGTGGACCGACACCAGCAGATGACATGGCACCCCAAACCATCACTGATGGTGAAAACTTTACACTAGACTTCAGGCAACGTGGATCCTGTGCCTCTCCTGTCTTTCTCCAGACTCTCGATTTCCAAAGGAAATGCAAAATTTGCTTTTGTCAGAAAACATGACTTTGGACCACTCAGCAGCAGTCCAGCTCTTTTTTTCCTTAGCCCAGGTGAGACGCTTTTCGCGCTGTTTCTTGGTCAACAGTGGCTTGACACGAGGTATGCGGCAGTTGAAACCCATCCTTTCAAGCGTCTCTTGGTGGTGGATCTTGAAGCACTGACTCCAGCAACTGTCCACTCCTTGTGAATCTCCCCCACATTTTTGAATGGGTTTTTTTTCACAATCTTGACTAGGGCGCGGTGATCCCTATCGCTTGTACAATTTTTCTGACCACAGTTTTTCCCTCCCTTTGCCTCTCTATTAATGTGTTTGGACACAGAGCTCTGAGAACAGCCAGCCTCTTCAGCAATAACCTTTTGTGTCTTTCCCTCCTTGTGCAATGTGTCGATGGTCGCCTTTTGGACAGCTGTCAAATCTGAAGTCTTCCCCATGTTTGTGTAGGCTTCAGAACTGGACTGAGAGACCATTTAAAGCCCTTTGCAGGTGTTTTGAGTTAATCAGCTGATTAGTTTGTGGCACCAGGTGTCTTCAAAATTTAACCCTTACACAATATTCTAATTTTGTGACACACAGAATTTTGGATTTTCATTTGTTGCCACTTCAAATCATCAAAATTAAATGAAATAAACATTTGAATGCATCAGTCTGTGTGCAATGAATAAATATAATGTACAAGTTACACCTTTTGAATGCAATTACTGAAATAAATAAAGTTTTTCAAAATATTCTAATTTACTGGCTTTTACCTGTATATTAATTTTGATGGTCTCAACATAAAATTATCCGTTCATGGATTTTTAAATCCAGTTTTTTCTTCATTTTAAATTTCTATCTTTTGTCACTTTAGTTTCTTAAAACAATCTTTTCAGAATCTGTTGTTAACTTGGAGTACAATTTGTCTATGTCTTATATTTTCTATATCTAATGAGATTAAACAGAGTGTTTTTTCTGGCCTTGGCTGCAATTGTATTTGTTTGCTCAGTATATGCTTGTTTTTTTTCTATTAAGAAAATATTTTTCCAAACCTACAACACGGATCTCTTCTACAGTAGAGTGCTGCCTATAATAGTGATGGTTCCCACCTCTCACTCCCTCGTTGTAGAAGTGATCAATAAAGTATTAGGATGGATTATTTATTTCCCTTTCTGCCTGTTTTGTCTGAAATCTCCAACTGCAGATACACGTTTTTCATCGTGCTGTATCCGATGGGAGTGAGCGGAGAACTGCTGACCATCTATGCAGCTCTGCCATACGTGCAGAAGTCAGGCCTGTACTCCGTCACTCTCCCCAACAAGTATAACTTCTCTTTCGACTACTACACCTTCCTCATCCTTGTCATGATCTCCTACATCCCCCGTAAGTAAACAAGCAAAACTTGTCTTAGTATTTCATGTTCACGGGGCTGTTTTGTCTGCTGTAGTGACAATCGGGGTATATAAAAATGTTGTCCAAATGTGGATGTCAGTTCAGGCGTTTTATAAAATATGTGAATCAGGAAATTGTTTATATACCAAACTGAACGACTTTTGTTCTCTAATTCAAAAAACACTTTAGAGTTTAAAATGGAAAAAAGTTATATATTTTTTATATATATATATATAAAAAAAAATATATATATATATATTTTTTTTTAAAGTGAATGTATAAAATGGATGCATAAAAACCTAATTTTAATTTAGTGTTAAATTCTGTTAAAAGTAACGGATTATTATTAAATGTCTCCGGGCCTTTACTGGTTGTCATTTTTCTTTATTCAGACCCCGCTGATTTTTAATTAGTTACCCCTGATCTAGATGGATATCTATCTACAGTGAGGCAAATAAGTATTTGAATACACTGCGATTTCTCCCACAGAAACCATGGAGACATAATCTAAATAAAAAAAATCAAGAAATCAAAACATGATTTTTTTAACTAGTTGTGTGATAAAGCTGCAAATAATTATTCAGAGGCACTCCTTGGTTATCCTGGCTGTGTGCTTCGGGTCATTGTCATGTTTAAAGACCCAGCCTCAAAGGAGGTTGTTCCCCAAAATCTCCCAATACATACCCCCGGTCATCCTCTCCTTTATACAGTGCAGTTGCTCTGTCCCATTTGCAGAAAAACGCCCTCAAAGCATTATGCTACCACCCCATTACTTCACAGTAGGGATGGTGTTCTTGGGATGGTACTCATCATTCTTCTTCCTCCAAACACTGTTAGTGGAATTATGACCAAAAAGTTCTATTTTGGTCTCATCTGACCACATGACTTTGTCCCATGACTCCTCTGGATCATCCAAATGGTCATTGGCAAACTAAAGACAGGCCTTGACACGTGCTGGTTTAAGCAGAGGAACCTGCCGTTCCATGCATGATTTCAAACCATGACGTCTTAGGGCCGGATTTATCAAGATCCAATTTTGCGTGCAGTAATTTGCGCTCGCAAACTGGAATTTTGCACGAGGGGCTGAACCATGGTTTGCGGGTGATTTAACAGTGATTGCGTAACTGGTGGCAGGTGCAAAACTGTTGGAGACGCCCTATTTAAATGATGGTTTTGCGCGTTTTGTGGTTTGCGGCAAAGTAGTTTGTACAAACTAGTGCATTAAGAAATTTAAATCTTACAGTGACACCCCCACCCCCTCCAAAAAAAAAAAAAAAAATATATATATATATATATATATATATATATATAAACTTTGGCAACCTTTATTCCCTAAGGTGGTATGTGGCTGAATTTCTACTTCGCTGCAGTAAAAAACAAAACAAAAAAAAACAGGTGTTTTGTATTGGCCTGTAGAAAAATGCACATACCAAATGGCTTACAAGAAGTGACTGTGGATGAGATTACTGCGCGTACGCATCCCCGCAGCATTGGCATGTTGCTCCACAGGCGCAGGGGGGAGGTCGGGGTTCTCCTGTAGGGCGTCAGGGCGACATGGCATTTAGAACGTCGGACAGCACTTCTGAAAAACTAGATTGGGAGATCCCAGCTCTCGCTGCAACCGTACGCTGGAATGACCCAGATGCAAAAAAGTGCAATGTTGCAAGGAGTTCTGTGATAGCTGGTATTGCGTGGGTCCTCCTTGTGGCTGGCTCCAAATCCATTCGGAGTTCCCCCAACAGCTCCAAAATGGCAATGTTGGATAAACGACATGTTTTGATGATCGTTTCCTAGTTCATTCCAAAAATAGGAGTGAAAAAATGCGTTCTCTGCATCTCCTTGCTTCATTTCGATGTCTCCTTCTTGCGACAATAACCGCTGCCATGTGTGCGCAATTACGCATACAGACCATGTGCACCTTCTTTTGAAACGTGTTAAATATAAAGTCAGATACCGTTAGCAAAATTGCTTTCAGGTTTGATTAATCACTTTGCGAGTGCTAAATTAATATATTTACATGTTCTCCTCCCACAAGACGCACTTTTGCGTGTAAACGCCCAATATTGCATATTCATTGCAGAAAAAGTACTAAATGGATAAGAGGCGCTTTTTAGCACGTTTTAAAGACCAAATCCTTTTAGCACGCTGTTGATAGATCAGTTTGTACATTTTTAGCGTGCGCAATGAAATAGCTCACGTTTTTATACACGCAAACCTTTGATAGATCCGGCCCTTGGTGTATTACCAAGAATATCAAGAATGAAAAAATTTTAACAAAATACTAAAGCAAAGAGATCGCAAGATTATGCTATGTTTTTGATCAGATGCATACAGTTAAAAAAAAATACATTTTTATATAAGTGGGACTGAAACATATTGGTTTGAATAATTACCTTGGTACCAGGTCTTTAGTGTTTATCTTGCTCATCATTTATACTGGCATATTTTGGAATCTTTGAAGCTGAAGGATCTTTTACTAAATGTTATTTTGTTTCCCCTTTTTTTACTTTAAGAGTGATATTATAATGATCCAATAAAACTTAATTTTTATTTTTTTGGTGCATAGAATATACATTTACAATTATTTTAGGACAAAGTGCTGCTATTATTTATTTATGTGTACATAACTCTGCTTTTAGAAGAATTTGTGAAATCTTTGGTCTTATTTCCTGCCTGTTGTTTTAACTAATTTCCCTGCATCCCTGTATCTCCCATCAGTGTTTCCCCAGCTTTACTTCCATATGATACGACAGAGGAAGAAGGTACTAGGCCACACAGAGGACTACAGCAAAGTGGAATGAGGTGTGCAGAGCTCACAAAGGGTCCAATGAGAGAAAAGCTACCAAAACATCCCATAAACAAACAAATCAATGTTTCCTATTTTCAAACTGCCAGAACTGACCCTCTTGATCATCCCACATTATTTTATTCATTTCATTCCTAAAGCTATGGAAAGCAAACAGACATTCTGGATGAACTTGTTAGTTTTTGCATATTTCTGATCAAATTGTGATAATATTGAAGTCTAAAGAAGTGATTGACTTGAATAAAAATGAGCTGCTTTGTGAGCATTGATCAGAGTTTGTACACAGTTAATCTGACCTGATGATTCTCTGATAAACCTCTGACCTCCTAACAAATGACACTACTAAAGAGAATATAGGTTTCTCCTCCTGACTTGTTTTATGACCCTGTTGTATGAACCAGGTCTGCTTTAGGCCTCTTTAACTCTGAAAAAATACCGTGGAGTGTAGCACTGAAATCAGACATTGTAGGATTTGTGTCCTTTATGTTGGTTTGTACAAGCATTTGTATTTCTTCCATTTTGTGTAATTTATTGAAAGGTTTGGTACATTCCATATTTAGTTCAATAAACCCTTCTCCATCCCATGCCTGTTTTAGTTTTTTTTACTTTTTTGGATGTTTGTCTTTTCTGTTTTTTTGACTTGAGTTAATTCAGTTATTCAACGCCTTGCAATAGTAGTCCATCCTCCTTCATATTTTAACGTGGAAATGTCTACATTAGGGCTGGGTAAAAAAAATCTATTTAATCGATGTCTAGGGAATGAGATCAATTACTTTTATAGTGACGGGCATTACGTTCACATTCAAATGAGCAGGAAAGACAACTTCAAGCCAGACAGCTGCAAATATAGCCAATAGGTTGATTGAAGACATAAAAAAATGGGCTGACCAGCAAACACCCTGTAGTTGTTAGAGTATATGGTTTGTGCAGTGAAGATAATGCAGCTCATGCATGTCTGCTTATTCCCCGCTGTTTCACGTCGGCTTGCTCGAGTGAGGCTTCCCTTTTTCACTTTTCACAAACAAGTTTGCACTTTTGAGAGTTTTGTTCACATCTCAAGTTTAAACTGTCCGATTTACAAGTTTGCGCTTTGTGTTTAATATGACAGGAAAAAATAAAACACATGAGTATTTTGAAACACAGTTGAACCACTTTCATTATGCATAAACAGACCCAATCGAAATTAATCGATTTAGAACTGTAGGAATCAAAATCGAATCGATTCAGGGCTTTAGCGAAAATACCCAGCCCTAGTCTACGTATTTTTAGATATTATGAGACAGATCAAGACCATGCTGGCCATAATTGTAAAAGATGGGGGGAAAGGAAAAACATTCTGCTACTGTCATAGTCGTAGGTTCTAATTGAAACACCTCCTCCAGCTTTGCATGTTTTTTACTTTGGTTTTTTGTTTGTGCAGAAATGTTTGCCAGTTCTTCAAAAATTTGCTCAAGTTTAGACTTCTTGTCATCTCTGGCCAGATGCTGCCTTCCTCTTAAAGGGAAGAATCCAACCAGCATGTTGCTGCCACTACCATGCTTCACTACTGTTCATTTGTTCCCAAAGAATCATGCATGTTGGCCAAACATCTTTTACATGTTTGACTCCTGTATGGTTTTAAATTTAGTGGACTTTTTACAATTTTCTTTGTTCCATTAATAACAGAAATGTTACCAGAGTCTACCACTTGAGGTGCGGGTCTCTGCAGCTTTCTTTAGAGTTATCATGGCCTTCTTCCCTACATCTGTGATTCATCATCTCCTTGCCCCCTTTGTCAAATCAGGTGAACATTCGTGTTTAGTAGGTTAGCAGTTTAGGCGAACTCTATTTTAATCTTAAAAAGCTTTAGAACGCCATGCTAGATTTCCATTCTAATTCACAACTATGCAATTATAATTGGTCAAAATCTCAAAATATAATAAAAGACTAACAGTGTGGATACTTTTGCAGGGCACTATATAGTGATGCAGTACTTTAACATTTGTCTTTTCTCTCCCAGGTTGTCATGAGTGGTGCTTTGCATGATATATTTTCTTTAATATGTGATAAAAAAAAAAAAAAAAGCATTCTGATTTCAACTATCTTTGGGCAAACATGTTGCTACAATTCCATTTTTTTCATGTTCATCTTTTTAAAATCATTCTTTATCATCTTTTTTTATAGGTTTTCATCATATTGTATTTTTTTTTTATTAAAGAGCAAGTTGTACAGATTGACAAAAACTAGCACAACATGCTGTAGCAAGAGTGTTTTGAAATGAGGCCGGTTGATATGTAAGAAAACTGCATTGTAGCTGAAATAAGTGCTGGAAGTTGCAATTTCTTTGTTTCTATTGATTTCTTAGACAGAATTGTCGTGCTTAAAACCTGTAATTAATATTGAGGTATGTGAGATGAAGTAATAATCTCAAGTGAAGGTTTTTTCTGTCTTGTATATTTGGGATATTTTCAGGGATCTAATCTTGCGGGTTTTTGCTCTTTATGGTGGGCTGAGCTGAAACTTCTGATTCATATAAACAAGCTAAAATAACTTAATTTGCCAAACCTTTTACCTTATTGATATAGATTTGGTTTTATTTGAATTAAGTTTGGGTTCACCTCAGGTAAATCATCTAACAGTTTGATATGGATTATATGGGTTACAGTTTTAGGGTCCCCAAAGATCTCATCCATCATGTTCTGCTGTGGTAAATGATACGACTGTTTTCTATGATGGAAACAAGATGCATCAATGGTGTCTTTGAAGAGTCTACTGACCACTCTTTAAGAAGTCTCCTAATTAGGTCTAAGAAATAAAACTTAATCTAGAGCGGCTTGTTACCGCTGGTATCCCAGAACTGCTTTGCCTGCTGCTGCGTTTTTCTCCATGAGGTACGATGAGAGGATGAACTGCCTTAAAAAAATCTATTCTTGACATGAATTACATTTTGTCAACTTACAACCACAAGCTTCGATTGATATTAGATGGGTTGATATGGAAAGAGAAATGTTATTTCAACTAAAATTTTATTTCACTTTTTAAAACTAAAATTTGAAATAAAACAATTGTAGCTCAGAGTGGTGTGTTTAGGGGGGATTGTCCTGTTGAAAAGTTAACCCCCCCTTCCATGTCTCAAGTCTTCTTTTTTTAGCCTCTAACAATTTATGTTCCATTATTTTTGAAAGCAAGAAAAATTCTGTGAATGGAAATTTGAAAAAACTAATTTCCGAAACTAAAAAAATACTATCCAGAGATTAAATTTTGACTGTTTTAAGTTTTCTTTAAAATAAATAAATATGTTTTTAGTTTACTTTTTTCTTCAAATGTAGTTTTTTGTGGATTTCGTTTCAATGAATTGGATTGTTTTCAAATGTCGTTTTTTCCAGATCAAATTCTCTGCACTTCTGGGGGCGGGCTTTTCTCTGGAGGGAGGAGTGAAGATGCATTTCTATTGGTTTTCTTTAACAGCATCAACACTATTGTATTAGTCAATATGCTTGTCAAGAGTGAGCGTTTGTATTAGGTTGGAAGTGAAGAGAATGTGATTTGTGAAATGCAAGTCATATTGATAAATATCCGGGAGGAAAAGAGTTTGAAAAAATTAAATTCAAAAACATTAAAACTATTAAAATAAAAAAATAAATGAATAAATAAAATATGAAAAAAAAGAATACCTACCAGAATATTTTTTAACACATAAAAAATTGTATTCTTTGGTTTCAACAGTAATGGAACAAAATTCAGATTAACTGTCCTTAACAATGTTTCATATTAGGGAAGGCCTTTAAGAGTTGTGTGAGATTAAGGATTTTAACTACATCATCTATTCTTTTTTCAATCTTTTCTTTCTTTATTATAATGTATTAGAAAATTGCTTATAAATTTTCCAAAGCTTTGAATTTTTTTCTGTAGCCCCTAATTTAAACTTCCAAGGTTTTCCTCTTAACCCATCTGTCCAATGGATGCTCTTTGTTCATGAAAGCTTCGTTTTTACATTTATTAAGTATTGTCCAATTGGCTTCACAGGCCTTGACTAGGGTGCAGTGTTCTAACTGTAACACTTTAAGAATGATTAATTGAACTTTTTCTACTTTACAATCATGCATTACTTTGTCGGTCAATTACATAAAAACCTGCTGAGTTTAACATTCTGTGTTTGAAGTTATGTGATAGAATACGCTGTAAGGGAGTGAATTTTTTTTTAAGGCACTGCATCCTCTTCATGAAGAAACCAGTTAATGTAATCAGAAAAATAATTGTAAAAAATTTATTTTTCTTGTAATATTGATGTTAAAGAAAGCAGCTTTTGATTGGCTTTGGCGTCTGATGAGTCCGTTTTAACTTCCCTTCCCTTCATCAATGGATGAGCATGATTCTGGCTTGTTTGTTGGATATACCTTGCACAATACATCTGAAAACTGCATGAAAGAGGTGATGCAGACTCTTCAAATGATGACATGTCTCATAACACATGCGGAGAAAAAAAACAAACAAGCATGGTACTTTTCTTTATATCTGGTTCTGTTGAATAAAAGTTTTGATACCAAGCCTCTGCAAGACATCAGCAGACTGATGAGTATGATCACTGAGTATATATTTACAATAAACCTAAAGTATGGAAAAGCACTTTGGTTTTTGTGTTGTTGTAAAAGCCCTGAAAAGGGGGATAAGTGAGTAAATAAGCCACAGACACGTTGTTTCCTCTGCTGTAGCATGTATTAGCTGAATTATCATAACTTACACACATACAGAAACATTCCAGACTTGAAACAAACTGTATGGTTTCTTTGTGGACCATTATGTTACACAAACATAACAATAACAAATAGTATAATCAATATAATGTAATACACACACATGGATCTACATTGGCTGCTATGAGCTATCAGCTAACTGTACAAAACATTCTTAACAACAAAAGATGTGCACATAGTTGGTAATGAAACATATTCACGAGCTGTCTAGCACTTAGTAAACCCACTACCAAAGGCACAGATGTGTTTATATGCAGATTCATACCTGAAAAGGGGGATAAGTGAGTAAATAAGCCACAGACAC